GGGGGGGGAGGGAGAGAGGGTTAGCCTCTTAGGTTCTTAGGTGGTCTTGAAATCTGCCCATGAAGTAAGGCTCTATTTGCATTTTCATTGTAACATCATCTAGACTGCAAGCAGTCTCTCTTTTCCTCAAAAATCTGTGGAAAAGAACGCAAAACAAGTAAGCGTGCGAGCGTGACTCATGACTGTGAGCATGACGTGTAAGTAACTATGCCTTGAGCTGCTAGTAGCACAGGCGGCTACTCATCATTCCGCCTCATGGGAATTTCAAAAGTTTCAACCTGCAAATGTTTGAAACCAGTAGCAAGTTGTCCCAGTGATTGGCCATTTGAAATGGAAGCCATCAGAAGTTGTCAAAAAGTTTTCATATACTAATCAAAATCTTTCCTCTGTGGCAATAGTAAGATACATAGCTCTGTAAAACAGTTAACTTATTTTTATTTGCAACACATTCACAAAAGAACTCTTTGAACAGTACAGCCGCTTGCAAAGGGAATACTCACTCCATTTAGAATATGAATACTTACACTGTTGAAGATGTAATTTGTTACATGCATTATTGAGGGAGTGATGTTTGTTCATTGTTTCATTTTGTCTCTTACAACAGGACACAAATGCTTTAATTGAGTATCTTCTACGGTAAGCTGTTACTCAGTGCTTTCTTTTTCTCCTTTGGAGGGTGGGGGCAAGGTAATCCTGGTGTTTGTAGACTATTTGTTGGTCTCTGATGTAGGTTACTTTCAGGGCTGTGTACTGTCCACTAGCCTCAAGTTATTATTGCCTGAATACCAAACCTCCTACTCTTTTTAACACAGTTGTTAGTTATTGAAACTGTTTACTTTTCAATACCCTATATACCCTTAGGCAGCAAATAAGTGTAAATTAAGAACAAAGCCTTTGTGTGTAGTGTACTAGCCTCAAACTAGCCACACTTGATTCGATTAGTTTGAAAACGACGCTATCTACTAGGTGTTATGGATAAGATAATACAGGCAGTTTGTAGGCTAGACTAGACTGAAATACATGTAATCCATGCATTTAAGTCTCAGTCTTTATTTTCAGAGCTGCAGTTAATTGTGGATATTTTATCACCAGTGTGATTGCTTATAACTTCAGGGATTATTTGTCACCTGTCAAGTCACATGCCTACAATGTTCATTCCATTTCAATCACATTTCTTACTAGGAAATACAGAAAACGTAGCTAATGTAGCATAGATAGACAAAAGTAGCTAGTGAAGTGTCAAAAGAAATCTGGCAACAAAAATAATCGAAACGGTCTGGGAAAGACAAAGAAGTAGGATTATCAAGATCTCACTAAGTGATATAGACCTCAGCCTGGTCCATGATTATTTTAGACACCTTCATAGTGTTTTCAAAACAAGCTAGCCTCTGCAGAGATCCACCCCTTACTTGATTATATATTGCTGTTTACTTTAGTTAAAGCACTCAGTTTGCAACAAACAAGCTCGGTATTGCATCTTATCGATAAATCTTTAAGGTGGCAGAGAAGCTTCACACTCAATTTTGCAACCATGATTTTTCATGCAATAGGAAGTAAACTTGTTAAGAAGAAAGCTCAAAGCATCCACTGTATTTTGTGCCCTTTGCATTATTGTGTTTTGATAGCCATCTTGCAGTTTTAAATAAGAGCAGAGCTCGACGTTGTGACTTAGTTCTTTTTTTAAAATGTCCTACTCATTGAATGAGTGTAATGAATGTTGACTACCAAACTATACTTCTCCTTTTCATGCATGTAGCCTTTGAAATGGTGTTCTTCTTGTGAAATACGCAGTGGCTTTATGTAAAGTCAAATCAACATCTTTCATTGGCAACATTCCGTATCAGCATGTAAGATTTTTGTGAAAACTGTAAATTGTATTGTTGGCAAGCTAAGTATATGTAGATTTTGGATAGAAGAAAAAAGCGTAAAACTATACAACTTTTATGTGTGTAAACAAGCTGAAGGAAAATTGACTGTGCAAGTGAGTTTGTGCGTACTGGTATCATGTGTCCTGTTTACTGGCAGTAGCACTGTTTTATTGGTAACTGTAATTTCCAAAAATACTATAAAAGAAAAAGTTTCCCTTAATAATGAATCGTTTAATAAAATTGAAAACGCATTGGAACACATTTCAGACAAAACATGTATAAGTGGATGTCAGATTTTGCTATTCAGAATGGCTCGCTCACATTCAATTATAATTATGTATGTTAGCAGGACTTGTTATTGGTATTATTGTCAAGATGTGGATAGCACTGATGTATAATTAACTTCTTCTTTTGATGTATTTTACATCAAATTAGACAGCATTTCTAATTGTTAAGTATTTTTATGCATTCCTGGCTGTCAAGGCTGATTTACACACTGATTGTACTGCTCACACAAAAGATTTTTGAATCAAAAAACACTTTATTGATAAAAGAAATCTCAAGTGGGTTAGTCGAACATGTAATTTGAAAGAAATCTGAGCAGCATTTGAATTTCCCACGGTATGCAAAGACGTTTATAAATTTGCCTCTAAGAAACATGTGCAGTGGCCATGCATCAGTGAACATGTAAAGCCTGTGCATGATGTTAAATGTGCTTACTTTCTTTTGCGCCAGCTTATGAAAAATAACGAAACAAAGCTTCCAAAATGGAAGCTTTTCTTATAAATAAAATAACAAATTAAAGAGTTTCATTCAGTCATTTTCCTTGTAATTTGAGGGGAAAAAAGTAAACTGGTTATACATGAAAAAAGTGTGATTTGTGTCATTTTAGTGTCTTTTTTGTGGAAATATATAGGGATGGATGGGCAGAAAATTGTTGGCAACTAAAATATTGGGGTAACCTCAATTGTTTGAGTGTCACTTCTAGCATCTGATGGCAGTCAAACAACCACAAAAAACTGATTATTTTTTCTTTTTGTTTCAAAAAGTCATGTGTGGCAAGTAGGTGAAAAATTCAGCCAATACACACAAATAATCAATTTATAACTTGGTGGACTTTGTTATTGTTCATTTGATCATATGATTGCTTTGTTGTTTATTGCAAGTGAACTAAAATCAAATGATTTGACAGATAAGTTGGGAGATCACAGCCCACCATAAAAAGACAAATCAAAAAATCTTGAATTTAACTAGCATGAGCACTGGAATCTAAAGTTATGCTATTAATTAATAGCAACAATTTAAGCTTGCGAGCACAACTATTTTCTCCTTCAGCCTTTGAAGTAAAATCCAAACCTGCTTTTGAAATGTGACTGAAGATTTTCTCACAGATTTCCGCCTTTAAAACAGGGATTTTCAATGGAATCATCCTGGCCCTTTTGCTGCTTTATTAAATTGATGATAATAAATAAAGAATAAGAGTAAAATGGCAAGAATGATCTTTTATTTTTAAGTAATTCTAATTTTAAAAAGGTAGGAAATTTGCATATGGACAAAGCAATGTGTGATGTCAAATTTGAAACCTTTATCCAATGTCAGTGATGATTTTATTACTTGATTCTCACACCTTTAAGATGATAATCCCAAGTTGGCAATTCCTTATGGCACTTCCTAGCTTCTACGTTGTAGATGTCAAAATTTTCTGGGGGGGGGGGGGCATGACCTTAGGCCCCCTAAGATAAGGGGCCTTGCAGCCCTAAACATGTCACAGCCACCTACTCTTCCAGCTGCAGACACCTACGTTGAAACATTTTGAAACCCCACCTATAGAAAGGAGCTTTAGATAATGGTATAATACATTGTTATCATAGTTTGCATAATGTGAAATTTAAGCCATTAACTATGGTCTGTATAATATCAGACTGCCTTATTATGCCACTAGTTACTGGCATAAAATGTTACAGCGTGTAATCAGACTGCCTTATGACGCCATTAGTCACCAGTGTAAAATGTTCCTTTTTTATTTTTTTAAATTGTTTAAAGACTAGTGAGCGGCACAAAAGAAGACTTCTTGTAGTTGTAATTTCTTCGTTAATTTCTTTCCAACATGTTCTGTCTCTAGCTGAAACTACTTCAGGGAATCAATACCACTAACATTTTTAACTTCCCTTGGAAGTGAACAACAACTGAAACATGCTGTAAACAGACGTTACAAGAAACTTCTCTAAACAAAGGTTACATTGCTTTGCTTTGTTGCTGTAAGCGAGTGCAGCAGTGAGAATTGACCATTTGATTGAGTAGTCTGTCTGTGTGGTTTGTATAGTTTCTGTTCCCAAATAAAAGTTTGTGCTGAGTGTATTGTTGCTTGAATGACCCCTTCACCATGCCAATGTAGTTTTTTCGTACAGTGTCTTCTTTTGTTGTGGCATTGGTTTTTGTCCGAGGGGCAGTTGTCTTTATTTTGGCAGTTGCATCTGCTTGGTGTGCTGGTTGATGGTGTTTTTGTTGAAGATTTTATGTATATAGTTTAAAATCCATATGTGCTCAAAAAACTGAGTAGTCTACTATTATAGTTTACTTTACTGTAGAGCACTATCTTGGCTTCAACAATGAACATCACCTGGACTATTAGTGAAACCTATTGAAATACTGAAAAAATACCCAATTTCTAGCTATGAGTAGCATTTGATCTAAAGTCTCAGCCTCCAAATTTTTGCATGTCTTGGATTTGTTTTTTGCTACAGTGAGTCTGATCTGAATGATTTACCCATTCTTCCTTCCTCCCCTTAAACTCCTCATAGTTGTATAGTGACCTGGATTTAGCCTTTTCACTTACTAAACTGAATTCTTGGTATATGATTTAGACTGAAAGATGACTCTGTCGTGGTTGACATTATGCCATTTCTAACAAGCAGGTATGTGTCTTTGGTTAAGATAATTTTTGTTGTCTCAATGACACATGGTATGACTTGCTTTAAAAGCATTGCATGCACTAGTGTTTTAATTGTTTAGTATCATATTCTGTTTGAGTCCTTTGTTATTAATAAGAAATGGGCACATCATTTTGGTCAAAGTGAGAGTCAATGCAGAGTGAGGAAGGGTTTAAGTGCTATTTGGCCCCAATGCTGCCAGAACAAAGTGTATCTAGGAAGGAAAAGAAATGAAAGTTTTTGGTGACATAGGCCAAATACCTACAGACTGGTTTGGAGCTCCACCCAAAAATGTGGGGAGGGTATGGGCGGGTTGTGATAAATTTCCTTTTCTTGGCCAAACTGTGAAAAGACACTTTACTGATGTCATAACCTCTCATGAACCTATGAGGAAGTGAGACATCCCCAGGGTGTTACAGCAATAACACTGAATGTATTTGGGATGTTAGATACATTGAATTCCAACAGAATATGAATATTGAAATGACTGAATAGTATCATAATCTGTTTAAATTCTTTGTTGAGTTATTTTTTTGTAAAAAAAATACCTCTTAGTCGGCGCGTCGGGTATGTTATGGACGGGTCAATGGGTGAGTGAGTGACTGAGTGAG